AACACAGGAGCATCAATGTTACCCTTTCACTATTATTGTTGTACAAGAAGCCATGGCAGATGTTGGCACTTAGTTACACAAACATTAGTCTTAACGATTGGCCATTTGTATTTGATGAAGACAAACGGGAGGCCTGGTTGAAATCTGAGGCTCAAACCAATCAGGAAGTTAATGAGGAGAGAAATTACCACTGCAGCTTCTCCTTAATTACATCCAGGCTAGGCGGGAAAGGAGTGCTGTGGGTGAATCTTGACTCATCAAAGGTGAATGAGGTCAGAGACCCTTCCATTTTGTGTTTTGTATCGAGCAGAGATTGAAATGTTGCAAATATTTCTTCCACTATATTAGCTTTTAAACTGTTTAAAAGTTTGCTTTGATCTTTTGCTGTTTATTGTTCTGGAACCTGGGCGCTTCCTTTGGTATAACATCAGTTCTTTGGTGATTTGGGTCCTGCTGTATATGCCACTTGCTACATTTATTTCATCCCTTCTGTATGGGGCCACTGAAATCAGGACACCTTCCTCTGGCCAGAGATGGGCAACCTCTTGGATTAGGAGTCTGTTTTACTCATTTATTTATTTATTTACAAGTGTTTGTATGCCATGAAATAACTTTCTCACAGCCCATCACAAGATTGAAATCCAGGCCAGCTTGAAAGAACAGCTATTCACTTAAAATACACCCAATTTAACCCCCAGAATGCCTGGAAAGAGGTTCCTTTTTATGGCCTGATTAGTGATCCCTCTATCAAACCATCTGGTTCTTACCTGCCTCGCTTTGTCTGGTTGAAATTGAACAGAATTAGGTGTGATACTGGAAGAAGTGACTCTGCCCTGTATCAGTTGGGATGGAAAGATTCCTCTTGTTGTGATTGTGGTGCTGATATGCAAACTATTAAACATATTGTGCAAGATTGCCCATGACGTGAATTCTCTGGTTCCCTAGAAGATCTGCATGAAGCAACACCAGAGGCCTGGATAGCAGAATTGGACATCCAGTTATGACGCCACTGCCATATCCCCATAGAAGTTTTACTTATAATTAGGTGGACTGTATATATATGTTTACTTCTCTTCTGTCAGTGTTGCCAAGAAAACTGCAGGGACTTCTCCAGTAGCTAGGAATCAGCACTGACTCAAGGGCATATCCTTCCCACAAAGAAAATACTGAGCAGGAAAAGAGAAGGTTTTTTTCCTGACAATTCTCAATTTGATAAAAAATAATTTAGAGTTGCTTTTCAAAGAAGAGCACTTTACTGAATCTATAAGGTAGCCAAGGCAGGTGTGTCCCCTATCGTTCACAGTGCAGTCATCTGTCAAGGAATTGGTAACCTCCTTGGCATCCACAGTTCATTATATTTCAAGGGAAGATAACCAAGAAAGAACTCCTTATGGGCTTTTTCAGACAAGGAAGTGTCGTGGGAAGACAAGAGAAAGTAAGATCAGCAGTTGTAGCCTTTGCCAAGCACTTTGAGAATAAGATAGAAAAAAACAGAATGTTCCTTGCATGGAAAAATAAACCCCTGAGAAATTAAAAAGCAAATTCAGCATAGCACTACTGTTCGGCTTCCAAGAAAGAGGCAATCACTCAGTTGGGGGAGAGACAGTTGCCCTGACAACTAGAATTTAGGACTTCTGGGAGTACTTGCATAGTAGCAAACCCCCCCCCCCCCCACACACACAGACACACACACCAACGTGCAAAATACACTTCCGGTTTCAATCTTGTTATAATTGCTAATGCTTTTTCTTACACTTTTCTAGAATTGGGGCCATATGTCTGTAGAATAAGCATGGCTTCTCCCTGAATTATATCCTGTAGTCCAAACTGTTTTTTTTTTGTGTGTGTGCGCACGCACAGTTGTTTCTTCAGTTGCATAAAGAGTCCATATTAGCAAAATGCATATGAACAAAAGAACTCATCTCTGATTCCCATTTGAGTTACCACCTTTTTCTGGGCCTTTAAAAGCAACTAGGAATTCAGCTGCTGAGTTACTGCTTGAGTTTTCTTTGTGATGTGCCTATTATTGGAGCCCTTTAAAAAATAAGTAGCAGTGTCAGTTCAAATGGAGTTGAAGTCAAGTTGACTCCTGCCGCATAAGAACAGGCATTGCTACCTTTTTTCAAGGTGAGCTCCCTGTACCTTTTAATAAGACCCTAATGGACTAGTATTTTTTTCTGCTCAACCAAGAGGCAGCCCATTGTCAAATGTGTTAAATATGGATGATAAATGGGTTGAAGAACATCAGGAAATCTCAGGACTGTAGGCTCTGTTGGGAAATTGAAAAGGCATTCCTCTCCATTGAGTTCCATATTGTTGCCAAGAAAATATGGATGCGTCCATATAGTCATCTGAACATCTAAAATTAAGCTTGATTGAGGGAAGATTACAGGTAGTCCTCAAATTATAACCATTTGTTTAGCAACCGTTCAAAGTTATAAAGCCACTGGAAAAAGTACAACCAGTACTTGCTTTGTTGCAGCGTCACCACAGTCACATGATCAGATTGGCAATGGGCATGTATTTATGACAGTTGCAGTGCCCCAGGGTCATGCGAGTGCCATTTGTGACTTCAGTCCCTCTGCACCAACAAAGTCAATGGAGGAAGCCAGATTCATTTGTGTTATTAACTGCAAGAGATTCGCTTAACAACCATGGCAAAAAAGATCATAAAATTGGATGTGACTCACTTAACTGCTTTGCTTAAGAACTGAAATTTTCAATTGTGGTTGTAAATCGAGAACTGTCTATATGTTTTCATACCTTTTGTATGAACATCTTTGATGCGGATTTCCTTCTCTGGAGTTCTTCCACCAGCAAAAGCTAGTATGTATGTTGGTGATAACTTAGGTAGCTTTTTCTCAAATTGAATGCAAAATAGATAATCCTGGAATATTGGTCTGCCATCTAATTGGCTTCTAAATGTATCTCAACATTGATGTTAATGTTTCTGAAATGTATTGATTGGTTAAGTCGTACTGTCACTGACGTCTGCCTGGAGGCAAGGAGGTTCCATGTTACGTGTCATGTCAAACATTATAAATTTGGTACCTATGCAAGACTTTATGACATCAGATAATTTCATTTGTGTTATGATATGATGCGTGTGTCATTTTTAAGTCAGTGTATCTTGTCATGGGTATTTCTGTTTACTGATGCTACTGTGTTCTGTAATGCAATTGTTTTATGTCTGCATTTTGGTTTTACCATGTGCTTTTTCTACAGTCCACTTTTTTAAAATGTTAAGGAAAACTCTTATTCTTCCAAGCCTTAAGCAGATATGAAGCCCTCTTGATTTTAATAAAACAATCTCATGGTCTTTATAAATCTAATTCAAGTATTACCAGAACTTCAAGGAGGAGTGTTTGTTTTATTTTGCATAAAATACAATCAATTCATCATTCAGTTGTTTCATTGGAATTAGAAGAGGTTAGTTAATACACAAATATCTGCTTAGATTGTCAAGCACAGAGTTTCTAGGTGTGCCATTTTTCATTCTGGAGATGCTTTGGTGGCACAAGTTTTTTCAAATTTCTGAATTTCCCCTATCATCCAGCTCTTAAAATTGTGAGAATCTTATAGAGAGCAGGAGATGCTGTCCAGTTTTTGCATTGACCTGCAAAGGGTTTAGAAAGGACAAATATATCTTGACTATTTATGCCTGTATGTTTTATCTGAGGTGCAAACAATCTAGTACCATGAATGACCAGCCCATGATTCAAGTTAATGTTTTATATATTTATTTATTTATTTAAATTTTTATACCACCCCCTCTCCTGAAGGACTCGGCAGTGAACAGCCAAGATTAAAAAACATACAATATAAACATTAAAATACATTTAAAACAAAATTAAATCCCTAATGGCTTTCCCCAATTTAAAACCCCTCACCCATAAAATTCACCAATAAAATTTTTTAAGCCAGCCCAGTTTGCCGAAATAGGAACGTTTTCAGAGCCCGGCAAAAGGTTCGGAGGTCCGGGATCAGTCGTATCCCTGGGGGTAGCTCATTCCAGAGGGCGGGTGCCCCCACAGAGAAGACTCTTCCCCGGGGGGGAGGGTGCCAGTCGACATTGCCTGACCGACGGCACCCTGAGGAGACCCTCTCTGTGGGAGCATATTGGCCGGTGGGAGGTTATCGGTGGCAGAAGGTGGTCTCGTAAATAACCGGGCCCTAAGCCATGGAGCGCTTTGAAGATGAGAACCAGTACCTTGAAGTACCTTTATGACTCACCATGGGCAGCGTCTTCTCCCTCTCCACTCTTCCCTGGGAAAATGGGTGAGATAAATGAATCTGGGTATCCCTAGAAAAAGGCAAGTGTGATATCCTGAGTCTTTTGTAACTTTCAATCTTGGACCAACTTTGTGGTTCTTCTCTTCCAGCAATACTATTTTATTAGAGGAGGCCAACTTATTTTCCAAAGAAAATAATGAAAATAAAAATATTTTCCAAAGAAAATAAAGAAAATAAAAATATTTTCCAAAGAAAATAAAACTTATTTTTGATCTTATTAGAGGGGTTCAACTTATTTTCGAAGGACAGGACAAGAAACGATGGAAACTGATTAATGAAACACCCTGGAATTAAGGAGAAACTTCCTAACAGTGAGAACAATTAACCAGTGGAACAGCTTGCCTTCAGAAGTTGTGGGTGTTTCATCACTGGAGGGTTTTTTTTAATATATATATATATATATATATTTTGCACAATTCATTTATTTGGACAGACACTTGACTGACATGGTATAGGCCAGGGTTACCTACTTGAGCAGCTGGTTGGACTGGAAGACCTCCAAGGTTCCATCCAGCTCTATTCTGAACTTGAAATATTATACATGTCTAGGACTGTTCTTAAGTACAAGTTCTGGACCTTCATTGCATATTGATGTGTCCATGTGTGTATGTAAGGTAATTTAGCTGTGCAATATTATTATTCCATGTCATTTAACGTGGCATTTCCTTTTTTTTTTCTCCTTCCCCTTTATCCCATTGCTTCTTCAGTATTTTCACCACCTAGTAGTCAAGATTCTGGCTTGGTTTCCCTTTCCAGCAGTTCTCCCATCAGCAATGAAAGTACCAAGGCTGTGCTGGAGTGTGAGTCAGCCTCTGACTCCAACACCTTTCCAGTTCATTCTGTTATGGAAGATGGCGAATAAGCAGGGATGAAAAAAAAAAAAGTCTTGGGGTGGATTCCCTTGAAGAAGTGCCTTCGTGTTAATTTGGATTTGCCTGTTTGTGATGACAGATGCTGAAATAACTGTTGATAAAATGTTCTCTTATTCCCTTTATATTTGTTCTGCACTTTGTGATTTTCAGTCTTAGATAAGAATGAGAATAGTATAGTGTAAAGGGCTGCAAGAGCATTACCCTTAAGTATATTGAAAGAAATGTATTGGTATTCTCTAATTTTTTTAAAAATTTTTTTTGACATAAACAGTATATAAATAAAATTAAAGATTATTTTGTAGATAAAATGTAATCAAAGTTCAGTGTATGCAAAAGATACTTAGATTTGCTCATAATCGATGTATCCAGTACATAAGAGTTTGATTAATTCTTTAATGGTGTTCAAAAACAAGATATTTCAAATATGAAAATTTGAGAAATAGTTTCCTATTGTGAAACAGAATTGTTCTTCCTTTTTTAAGCTGCACTGCATGAGTTAAGATTGAGATGGAAGACTCTATGTTTTACAGACCCAAGGATCTTTTTTCCTCTTTTCATGATATATAAAAGTAGATAAAAGTTTAAGCAAGAATGATATTTTTAATTAGTAAAAGGCCTGTGATGGATTTTTCTTAGTTCTGTTTTAATGGAAGACACTATATTTTGACCAGATATAGCCTCTATTGCTAGCCTAAAATGTAAAAAAAAAGTTTGTACAAGTTAAGCTATTTGCTACAATGTTAGCTCCAAGTAAAAATGGCCTTTTAAAGTTATTATAGATTTTTTTCAATATTCTGTTAAAAATGCCTTACCATGTACTTTCTCTTAGTTACAGAAGCCAACCAGAAATAAAACTGCTCTTTAAAAGAATTCATTGTTCTCTATAGTTGCAGTAGTACTGAAATAAAAATGTTATTGATGACCAAATTTTCTTGTGTGTGCATAGTTGGTAAGCTGTATTAAACAGGGAGGGGAAAGAAATTACTTGTATTTTCTTCACTCTGTGCTTTGAAAACATCTATTTGATTTCGCCCCCATCTGTTGTAATCAATAACCTGACCATCTTGTTTTTTATTAAATGCACTTACTCTTAATTTCATCCACCAGTGGTTTTAGAGAGAATAATGTGGAGTTACCTATATGGGTTTGACATTATAAATCACTTCTTGGGGCTGAATTGTATAGTGGTATCGATTGATCCTGATATATCACAGAAATTTACTGTCACTTCTGTTTTCAATTAAAGATACAATCAGTCAGATAATGACTTAATTGGATTTTACAGAAGATTGAGTTTTATTGCCCGGTGCTTTACGAGTTTAGTTAAGGAAGATCATTTTATCACACTTGTCAGCCTGCGACTGCAGTTGGGTGCCTTCTGCTGCAGCCTGCTGCTGTTGCCATTGTGACAGACACATAGTTGGAGCAGAGGGCAAGGAAAAGAATCTAAGGACGAGGAGGCTGAGCTGGGCTGCTAACAGCCAACTGCAGCCAAGACAGTGCCTCCCCCTGTTTCCTTTCCTTCTAAACTGTTGAGATATGAGGTTTCCTAGTGGAGCTCACAGTTTCCCTCTTGAGCTCAGTTGTCTCTTTCCTCTCTCCATCTTCCAAGGAGAACATCATGCAACAATGGAGGAGAGGTGGATGTTGATTGTATGAAAGAATGCCACTGTGCTAGTCCAACCCTGGCAAGGATAAGATGAATTTAGAAGCATCCTCACCTCCCTGGCGCTACCCAAGGGTCAGATTACATTCTATACCAAGTTTCCCTTTTAGGTCTGCTCTTGAATACATTACCAAAAGTTGCCCAGCCATGTAAGTAATCTAGAACCACTTTGCTATTAAAAACAAATTCAATTGGAATTATCAGAAGAAATTCACAGGATAACTATCAGCAAACAAAGCTGGCATGGAATACTTCTACTCTTTCCTCCAAATATATATTTTGCCAGGAGATCTGTGTTAGTCCAAAAATCAGAAATAAGTCTGATAGTGCCTACAGCTCACTTAGCTACTCCATGTATCTGATTAAGTTTATTTGTTTGCTATTGGGCTCTTCAAAATATATATACCGGTAATTTCTTTTTACTTGAGTGTTGAAATATTAAGAATTTCACTCTTAATCCATTTGGGTAAAGTTGTCCATCTTTATCAATTATAATAGCTTCCCAAATACAGTCTAGATATGTGAAAATAATTAAATGAAGCCTGGTCTAAACTTCCCTTTGGAGATCAAACTGCTGCTCACTTTCCAAAATATAAGTGACCTCATGTAACAACCAGGAAATATCCTTGAAGGACAAAAATAACGAAGGTATGGAATAGGAACTGACAGTACTTTGGTGCTTTCAATATGAGATTCAGATTTTGCTATCTTCTTGCCTTTGGGAAGTGGGGGGGGGGGTTTGGAATGCAATCTATTGGGTGAAAAAACCTGCTTGAAATAAGAATTGGCAATTGTCATGACTTCAATTTATCCCAATCTATAAGTATCAACACAATGAGCCAAAAAAGCAAATTGTTTTCCTGGATGTATCAGAGGCACCACAATAACACCAGGTATTTTTACACACTCAAAGGGAAAAGCTAGAATTGCATACAGCAGATGCAAATTCCATTACCCTTTTAATATTGTGTCCTCAAGTGTCACTTAGATCATTTTTATATATGAATTTGAGAGTTGTACTTTACTGTTATCACCATGTGTGAATGTTTTTAACAAAATTGTCTTTTATTAAAATCTTTTAGGAAACTATGGAAAAATCATTGCCCTATTCCAGAAGAGAAGATAGTATCTACTAAACTCCAGGGTCTTGTGTTATTCAGGGAAGCTTAAAAATCTAGAGCTACCTATTTTGCTATAAAGCTGGAAAGCTGCAGAATAAAATGGAAAATGAAATGAGTATTAATTAGAAGAAACAAGTAACAAAAAATAAGAGATTCCAATTCAGATTCACAACACTTAAAATCTGTTTACAGCCATTATCAGTGCAATTCTAAGTAAAATTACCAAGAGTCTTGGTAGTACAGGAGTTTAAGGCACCCTGTTATTAAGCTGGTTATTAAGACCAGCTGCCTGCATTACTGCAGGGTTCGAATCTCGCCAAGGCTCAAGGTTGACTCAGCCTTCCATCCTTTCTAAGGTAGGTAAATTGAGGACCCAGTTGTGGGGGCAATAAGCTGACTTTGTATAAATATACAAAATATACAAAAAGGATGAAGGCTATTGCTGAGCACATTGTAAGCCGCCCTGAGTCTTCGGAGAAGGGCGGCATATAAATCAAAATTTAAAAAAAAAATTACCCACAGTGAAGCCAATGAGAAAAATCCCCATATTCATTTTTATAGGATTGAAATTTACATATTTGTATGTTGTACCTAACACATTTGCATTTGCACCTTTGAGAAAATTGCTGAAGCTTATATCAGCATTTCTTGCGGTTAAATAATTGTTTCCCCTTCAACCTTTTTTCAAGGGTTGATTGAAAAGGCATATATATCTTAGGAGCGAGTTGCAATATTAATTAAATGTGCAGTAACTTAGCTTAGATCATGGTGTCAGTGTCATGCAGAATTGGTACTATATAGGCAATTCAATCAAACATTATCTTCCGTTTCTGATTAATACCCGTAATTGAGGTTTAGAGCAAAGCCAAAGACATAAAACTGACAATTTTGAGACTCCTATCTAAAGCGTGTGTATGTGTGTACTGTATACAACAAATATTGACAATAGCACAAGCAACCCTAACACCTAAGAATAAATATTGGAGTGTTTTGTTTTACATTTTGCTGGTTTCAAAAGGGCAGTAAAACCTTAAAAACCAAAAATAGCAAGATTTTAAATCTATTTGCAGTTCATTATTCCCATGTACACCCTTTTTATAGAATTATTTTGGTGGACACACTATTTCATTAATAATTTACAACTTGAATTCCTTTTTTTACACCACTGCTTACATTTAAGCAGTATTAAGATTGCTTTTGGTCATATGCAAAGTGTAATCTAATGCTTGAAGAAATGAGGGCTATCTAATAAGTAATTTAATGTAAGAGTGTATAGGTTCCATGCTTATAGCAGGTATATTAAAGTGTTACATTATTTTATAAGTAGTGCCTTATATTTTTGTTTCTTCATTCATGTACTTGTGACACCATGATCTTATCCAGCTGAAACTAAGTCAACACAATCACGTTAATTACAGAAATTAATCATTGCCTATTTACTCCATTAATGGGCACAAATTTTGGCAAGAGATTCTAGTGAAATAAGCAGGTGCTTTTTAAGAGCATCTATGCCAATGCATTTTAAGAGCATACGGAATGGTGAAAAAGCATAATCCTTTACCACAGTGTGAGAATAAACTATTCTGCCCTCCCCCCCCCCCAAAAAACAAGTAACAATTTACCCTTGGAACTAGGTCCAAAGACCTACGTTTAGTGAAGTTTAAACATGTGAAATCCGAACCAATTCAAGCAGGCTTGCCTCTTGTTAACTAGCAGACCAAAAAAAAAAACCTTGCAAAAAAAAATCTTTTAAAGGGGCTCCCCCCCCATTCCTTAGATGAGTTAAATCTTGCTGGTTTCATTTAACTTCGCATTCCTAATTTCAGAATTAAGATCTGATACTAACTGCATTTACTTAACAATAGGTAAAATGAAAATTATTCCAATTGATTCACTCAAGTGTGGTCGGTTTCCAATTCAAGGAAATGACATTCTTGCAGAGAAGCTAGGACAAACACACGCAACAAAACCCAAAGCGTTACTAGTTTTTATTCCGAATGCATTAAGTACAATGTGCGGGAAGAAAATTACGCGAGAGAGAAAATGCTCTTAAGAGTCAGGGTTAGCCGACGGCGTCCTTTCCTAACTACAGATTAAAATCCCCCTCTACCCAACGGCCTCATTCTCTGGAAATTACGAAATTTGAGGTCGAGACGGCTGGAGGGACCGGAGCTGCGTTTTACACTCTCAGGCATTCATAGTCAGGACTGCTCGGCGCTTGACGGGGCGTGAAAGGGCAGCCGAGCCGGGCCCGCTTCTTTCTCGCCGCACCAACTCCAGCATTGCTGCGGAAGCTCCGCTGAATGACTTTTCCTCGCCTTTGCCGGAGAAGCCGGGCCGAGAGAGCGCCTGTGCTTTCCGTCGCAGCTCGCCACGAAGCTTCAAAGCCGGGAAGGCCTTTGCACCCCGGGGAGGCTGCAGGGCGGCGGCCTCCAAGCAGCTGCTGGACTAAGGCAACTAATCGCGGCTGGCTGGAAATCGGGGCCTCCTTTTCCCCACCGCCGGAACTATTGGGACCAAAATGCCTGCCCGGACGGCTCCTAACACTACCAGGCCGGTCGGCGCTTCCCGACCTTGACCTCTCATTGAGTGTGGAAATGACCGCGGCGGGGCCTCTGGAGACCTCTCGAGTCGCGCTCCCCGTTTCCGGGCAAACGGCTTCGGGTGAGCGACCAGGCCCCAAACAGCGTCTCCTTCGCCAAGGCAGCCGCCGTAGGAAAGCAGCTTCCCGGGCTGTCTCTTTAGCGCGCTGGGGTTGGGGGTGGGTGGGTGGGAGCGCTTCTTTTACAGGCCTGGAGGAGCCGAGCCTGTGGAAAGCGAAAGGGCGCGAACGAAGCGGTCCGACTCTGGTAGCCGTTGCGCCTGCGCCCAAGGGCCCCAACGGGCGCCTAATTTGGCAGTTGGAAGAAGCTCGGCGAAAGGCCGCACTCCTGATCCGGCCGTGTGTTTCTTTCGGTTCCTAAAACTAATCCCTCGAGTGGATCCTCGGCTCCTACTGTTTTTAAGAGCGGAAAAGTCAGATTTTGGGCCGGATTCCTCTCCGAAGCACGGCCGAGGAGGAGTTTACGGCTCTCCGGCTTTGGGAAAGGTCGCCTTGAAGAGGCAAATTTAGGCGAATCCTCAGCTCGTTTCTTCCCGGC